TAACTTACTTTTGTGCACATCTCTTTTTGTATTGTCCTACACTCCCTTTCCTTTTTGACTGTAAGCCGCCCTGAGTCCCCTCAGGGAAAAGGGCAGCCTATAAATGTCTAATAAAACAAAAAAACAAAACAAAACAAGGGATGGAAGGCAAGCAAGGCTAGGAGGCATCAGAAAGCTAGGATGAGGGATGTCTATGAGGATTCTTGGTCATCCAGGATGTCCCAAAGATGTATTTTTTCAAGAGGCAGCTGGACTTTCTGCTTTTTCTTTGAAGACTTTTCACTTTTCCTCCAGGAAGCTTCTTCAGTTTCTCCAGAAGCTTCCTTAGAGGAGAAGCTTCCTGGAGGAGAAGCAAAACACATTCAAAGAAAAACCAGAAAGTCCAGTTGCCTCTTGGAGGGAAAAAAGCACCTTTGGGAGAAACAGATGAAGGCATCTGGTCCTAGCCTATGCCCCTCATGTATGGGCATCCATCCCAAGGAAGGACTCAACCCGGCTTCAAAAAGGGCTCATGCTCCACAGCCAGCCAATCTGCAAAAGCGTGGAGATGGGCAGTGGGGGACATGCGTTCAAGACGAGTCACACCCAAGTTCCCCCAACGTAGTGCCCAGACATGTGGGGGGGGGGGTAGGTGGTTGGGAAAGGGATAAAGGTTGTGGGTATGGCATTCCCCCTCCCCCGCAAAAAGCAACGCAGCTCCAGCACTAGCAGTAGTTTTCCCCTTCCTTCACTCAGCTCTCCACCTCCTCCTTTGCTTATGCTCTCCACTGGCTCTGAGGCTTCAGGCACCCAGGGAATTGAGGGGGGAAATGCTGGCCATCTGTCCCCCCTCCCAAAGCAACCTCACAAGTTTTCAAGATCCTCTGGAGAGGCTTTTTAAAAAGAAACCCTCCAAAAAGCCACAAAATCTGGAGAGAGATGGTTGGTCTTTTGGGGGGAATCCCCAGAGCCAGGTTGCCCAGCAACCTGAAGAAGTCTGTGTGGGCCTCCGGTGGTGGAAAAGTGTGGTACGAGGGGCAGAAGTCCCCGAACCCAGGGGGTAATGCAGCTCCAGCAGTTTCCCCCTTCCTCCACCCAGCTCACTCGCTTTTCACCTGGAGGCTCTGCCAGTGGGGCACCTGCCATTTCACCTCCCGAGAGAAGCTTGGGAGAGACGTGCAAACGGCCGCAACTCAAGGCTCCCGAGGAGGATGCTGGACACTGCTGCTACTTCTGCTGCTTCCAGTAACAAAGGCTTCTTGGAGAGCATTAAGTTGCAGGCACAGTGGCGCACCGATTCCAGCAGCTGTGTTTTCCCTTGAAATTTGCTGTCCCGGCAATCCAAAGGGGACATTCTTCCAGCGGCATCTCAGGTGCTCCCACCCTTAGCCGGGAAGCACCAAACTGTGCCCAGCCATCCTCCTTCCCCCCCTGGCTAAGAATGGGGATGCCTGAGATGCCGCTGGGAGAATGTCCCCTTCGGGTTGCTGGGACAGCAGATTTCAAGGAAAAACGCAACTGCTGGAATCAGTGCACCACCTAAAGTTCTCTGGTCCTGCTGCACCTGAACTTTTCTGAGCATAGAGAGTCAGATGGAGCAAACTACCATCTGTCTCCCTTTGCAAGTCCTTTGCTGGCAGGCAGGTTCTGGGATGTCTGCCGCCATCAAAGGACCTTCCCAGAGTTGCTTTTCTGAGCATGGGGAGACGAATGGCGCAAACTCCCCTTGCTCAGAAAAGGAAGTCCGGGTAAGTCCTTTGCTAGCACGCACGTTCTAGGATGCCTGCCGCCACCAAAGGACCTCCCCGGAGTTGCTTTTCTGAGCACGGGAAGACGGACGGTAGTTTGTGCGGTGCGACCAGTTCCAAAGAGGTCCTAGGAGACCGGCCATGCCGCGTAAGTTCTCGCCACCATTCCAACTCGCATGCCCATGCTTTCTGGTGGCCAGGCATCTTAGGCAAGTCCGGGGCCCTTGCAAAGGCCTTACAAGGTTCCTGAACTTGTCAAAGACGTTGGCCGTGCCACATAAGCTCCAACCACTGTCCCCACCCGTGTGCCCATGCTTTCTGGTGGCCAGGCATTTTAGGCAAGTCCGGGGACCTTGCAAAGGCCTTGCGAGGTCCCTGAACTTGTCAAAAATGCCGGCCGTGCTGCGTAAGCTCCCACCACTGATCCCACTCCCATGCCCGTGCTTTCTGGCAGTCAGGCATCTTAGGCAAGTCCAGGACCCTTCCAAAGGCCTTGTGAGGTTCCCGAACTTGTCAAAGATGCTGGCCATGCTGCGTAAGCTCCCACTGTCGTCCCCAGCCCCAGCCCCACACCTTCTGGCGGCCAGGCATCTTGGGCAAGTCCA